GAGCGGCTCGTGGGCGTGAACAGTACGAGCCGAGCGGGCGAGCCGACGAGTCGCTCGGCTCATTTGCCACCACTAGATAGATATATTTGTGAATGTAAGTAACGGCTCCCTTTTCGTTTGCCCTATAAACTAATGGCTTTCCGCATTTATAATTATCCTCTCATTAACTCGCCAATCTCTTCCACCTTACAACACCCTCCCATCACCTTCCCGCACCCAATCCCCTTATCTGCTCTAATAATAAGAATTCCAAGGTACAAAGCACACGTACATTCAATGACAACTATATTTGAAAGAGTAATGTTATTCATAACCACAGTTGCTAAGCATCAGTTTACGTGACAATTACATGACATTAAATGATAGATTTATTTAAATGAAATTTCACATGACTCATTTAATTCAGCCTATAAAGCATGGCCACTTAGACTGATGCTCTAACACCACTAGTGCTAGTTAGCACTATTCTATTTGAAATTAAAACCCTAATTTTATGTTTATTTGATGAATGTGATGGATTTTGGATGTGAATTGTGGGAAATGAAGATGTGTTTCTGTGAGGGTCCAAACAACGAAGAGGATAGCCATCCTACTTGTTCATCGCCTCTCCACCTCTTGGAGGTAGGTTGGGAAAGAGAAATGGGGGTGGTGGGGTTGAGCAAAAAGGGGGAACAATGGCGGCAAAGGTCACTAGAGTTTTGCACCAATTACTTGAGATCGAACTCGGGAGAAACTCATGACAAGAACCTAACCTCAGCAATGGAAATGACAGAAAGTATAACGTCTGTCCACGACCAAATGAAAAAATTTCGATGAGCTCGAGCTTGTATTAGTGCCCAAAAAGCGATCAGAGACCGTCCTCTCTTGTACAATCTATTGAAGGCCACCTCTACCTCGATAGATAAGGTCTGCAAAGATGCTACTTGTAACGTCCCGAAAATTTTTTAGAATAAAATTATTTGTTCTATCTGCTATATTTTTATAATTTTGGAAAGTTGATGGACTAAGGTAAAATAGTATTAAATTCATTTTTAATTGAGCCAAATAATTAGATTTTGATGGAGTAATGATAAAAATATCAATATTGAGCTTGTTTTGTAGTTCGTATTAAATGACGTATTATGGACTTAAGAAAAAGTTAATTTGAATTAATTAGGCCCAGATATTAAAGTCTAAACAAGTTGTCATTAACTAGTATTTGATTTTAAATTTATTATGGATTTTAAAGGGTCGGCAGCAACGTGGGTCTTTAGATAGATGTAAAGCATCTTTTTTATTTGATTATGATAAGATTTTAATGTAATTCAATCAGAATTTTACTTTGTTTTGCTGTCAGACGACCGACTTACAATTTCACCACAGAAGTATTATACACACCCGACAGAGAGAACCAAATTTCGGCCACACGTATTTTCAAAGTAGAATTTTGCATCCATTAAAAACTATTTTCAAAACAATACACGTACCCATATTCACGGAGGCAAAGATTTTGAGAAAAGGAATTGCAGTGTGCAATCATATTTTTCTTTCAAAATTCGTTTAATCTATCGAGATAGGATTACGAGTTGCAAGTGGTTTGTCCAGTTTAATTTTAATTTTTCATGTTAATATATGTTATGCTAATGAAAGATATGATATGATATGACCATTCGATATCAAGTTATGATATATTATGAGCTCTTACTAATTTTTAAAAATATGATATGACGGTATGATTATTTTGATGCGTGAATTAATATTTTTATTCGAGATTGCACAATTACTCGTATCCTACTGAGTATTCATATATACTCACAATTTTCCCTATATCTCATAGGCTAAAACGAGTCGTTGGTTGGCGGGCAGTGATGTGTTATCGTTGTGCTTGGATTCATTCGACCTAATAAAATAAATTTGCTATGTAGTTGAATATTTTATATTTACAGCAATAACCTTATTTTGTTAATTTATTTATCTCTTTCATTTATTTGAACTTGGAACATGATTTGATTATGAACTATATTGTTTGTGATGTTGAATTTGTGAAATCAATATTTTATTGTATATTCATTTGTCTACCATGTATAACAAAGCGCGGTATGCATAAATAAATTTAAGTGGATTAGATTTTAGTGTAACTTATTAGGAGAAATGGATTAAGAAACATTATTTAAGATTCTCCCAACTATAAATTTAGGGACACTGACTGCGTGTATTAATTATGGATTTCTTTTTTGTAAATATAAGTTTCCTAGTCAATTTTAAAAAGAACAATGATATTCATCTCCAGGAATTGCATTCCTAGTCTAGGTGGCGTTAATGTGGCATTAAATGATAGGTGAAATTAAATAAGTTATTTAATATCACATATCATTTAGTCAATCATTTAATGTCATCTAGACTGGGGATGCAACCCCACTGAGGCTACATAGCATTATTGTTTTAAAAATCATCTTGGTTGAGATTTTCATGATATACATTAATTAGGTGATAAATAGATAAATTAAAGAATATGAAAAAATTTTAATTAATCTTGTTTAAACCACCTTTACATAAATTTTGTAATAATTATTTATCACGTAAAATATTTTAATGAAACATTTGGTAACGATTTAAATTCTAAAATTTGTTATCGTTACACTACTATTGAGATTATGCAAGGAATGTAGCCGAGCTCTCCGAGCTGGGAAATCAACCGGCTATCATAGGCGCTTGACAGGTTTGTCAATAGGTAGGGGGCACCGAAGTGTGCCAAATGTGAACATGCTGATAAGTGTAATTTCTATACTTATTCGGGGTTCTAAATAATGATATTTTATTATTCTTTGGGCGGATTAGTGCCTAATTTGTTATTTATTACTTTTATTAGGAAAACTTATGTGTGGATGAAGAATTGGAAAAATTACTAAAATGAAGTAAATTTAAGTTCGGGGACTAAATTATAAATACTTAAAAGTTTTATCATAGATTCTAATCAATTTTAGAGGCGAAGAACAAGGCTAGTAACATGAAATCAAGGTGAATTGCATAGGATATTGAAGTTTTTTCATCCGAATTCAAGATTCATATCAAGAACGTGAAAAAATTATAATTCTTCATTACTTTTTCTTTCCAGGTGATGATTTTCTAATTGTTTTATAACAATTTTTCATCCGAATTCAAGATTCATATCAAGAACGTGAAAAAATTATAATTCTTCATTACTTTTTCTTTCCAGGTGATGATTTTCTAATTGTTTTATAACTTAATTCTTAAATTGTTAAGCTAGTTTTTCAATTGTATTGGATGAGTATTTGAACCATATTTTCATTTATATTAATTCAAGACAATTAGTTTAGTATTTTTTTTTTTTTTTGATTGGTTTTGCATTCCAGTTGAACTATTTGATTGTTTAATCACCAATTAGATAATAAGTTACTTTTTGTAGTGTAAAAATACTTACAATAAGTCTAAAATGCAATAAAATCAACACATGGACAATAGGTGTTAGAAATGATATATATGACATGTGCAATCGTGTGTGATAAACCTTTTGAATCAATGCATGTTTTTTTTATATGAATTCTGACTAGGAATAGGTAGGTTTAATATATCTTTAAAAAGAATACTAAATATAAGCGGATTATCGATTGTTTTGAATACATGAATTTACTCGATTACGAATTAAGAATTGAATTAAATGACAATATGTGGATTCAAGATTCCAATGCAAACATTGAAATATTAGATAAGTACTATATTTGCTTTTTTAGTTTAGGATTACTATGGAAAACATACAAACCATCTCTTTTGATATTATATGACTTCTAATTTGATAAAAGCTATTGAACTAGATATCATATCTTATTTCTTGTGAGAACGACAAACTCGAAACTCGCTGATTTTTATTATTTGTCAAAAATCACGTACGCTTGCGGGTTTCAACATAACACTGGCCAAACCTGTCCACATGTCCTAAAACTACTGTAACAAAAGACATCACTAATTTCCTTTTTTTTCCCTTTCGAATAAAGAAACAGATAGGACATTTCCCTCGATGATCTTTCTTTTATACACTTTTGAGTGCTCCACTAACTTGATTACCGGAGTTTCACAGGGGATTAGGGATAAAATCCCACCATTTCAGATACCGGAGCAGCTGCAGTCCACCGTCCGTGGAGGAGTTCATCATCAACTACCATTAAATAGCATTTATTGTAGTGCCATGATAAATTTTATGTACAAATGCATCTTAAAAAGAAAAAAGGTTGAAGTAAAATAAAAAGACTACCATCCCAATTACTTTAAATTTTGAGTTTATTACGCTGCAAGAACATTTAACAATAGTCACACACTTCTGTATATATACTATTTGACTTAAATTGTATGGAAGTATTGCTAATAGTAAAATGCAAGTACAATCAAACATCACTCTTTTCCTTGCAGCCAAAAACATTCTAGTATAAGCCAAAGATTAAGGCCATTAATAAGTTTGCTTCAATCACACAAGTCTTCGTGGATTACGAACGCTCAGCAGCTTCACGTCATCAACGACAGGGCCACAAAGGGACGCAAAGTCTTTACTGCTTGTATGGTAGTAAGTGCTCAAGAACATGACACGGGTTCTAGTCGCAACGGCTTTAAAACGAAGCACAGCACGTTTAAACCCGCCTTTGCCCTTGGATTCATAAGGAATCTTAATAGTGTCTTTCCCGGCAAATGCTTCAACAATCATGGATCCTTCACAAGAGTTGCTAGCATCTCCTACAGAAAATGTGAGCTCATAAGTTTTGCCAACAGTGGTTCGCGCCACTTGTGCAATGGCACTTTCCTTTCCACCAACGAGTTCAATTGCTCGTTTGCCTTGTGGTACCTGTCGAAGATTAAAATATAAATAAATAAACAAACGTGTCCCATTTCTAACAATTTAAACTTTTAGATAAGGTAACTCAACATTACCGAGAAATGATCAGAATCGATATATTTGATAGCTTTGAGAGATTCGACCATCCAGGCTGGTAAGGGAGAGTTATCGTCCTCAATGTTAGGCGGGATAAGGACACCCCAACTTGTGTTAGGCAATATATATGGACCTTCCTCAAAGTCCGCATTTTTCAATAGGTTTTCTGCATAATTAGGACTGGCTCATGTAAAACAAATTGTTGTATAGAGTACAAGGCAGTGATCATGCATTAATAATGCAAAACTCACGGCCGCTAGCTTAACCAAAGGTTTACATTCTGTAAACAACCCGTACTAGTAGAAGATGATCGTGTGATTAGAAATGTCTTTCTAGTCCTAATCGGGCGACAAGCTTTTAAATAAGATAATGCAACCGAATAGTGATGAGAAAAGTACAAGGTGTCACCAGTCGACGTCAATGAAAGTTTTTCTTCAATCAATTAGAGCATATTGGATGATTATACAAATTCATTTAAATAGTAGTTCATTGCATGTGAATCTAAAGTTCATTTTCAGAGATGAAATGAATTTGAATATCTATTCATAGTGGTCCAAAAGGTCACTCAGAACTTTGTATTTACAGCATGTTTTGGTGCTCAAAAGTAAGTCATACTTACTTTTTATGTCGCTTTTGTCAACCATGATATCTGAAGTTACTTTCTTTTTTTTAACAAACGAAACTTACCATTTTAGAAAGTAACTTTTAAGTTTTAAGCACACTAATCTAATGTCATGCAAAAGTATGTAGCTAATACTAACAAAGTAGCGGATATAATTGCTCCAGAAGGACGTTAGCTAAGTACTTTCATGACTTAATTGATCTAATATTGGTCAAAGATATGGACGATAGACAGAGTAAAGTTAAGATATGATGAACTCACGATTAGTCGGTTTGGGAGGGTAAAGAGCGCGAATGGCAATCGAATCAATCAGCGGTCCACATGCTGGATCTTCCTCGACTCCTGGATTGTGGAGTAATATCACAGCCACACTATAGGATGCTCGAAATGCCCAAGCATACAAGTCCCAACCTTCACTATTATAAACTGTTTGAATCGGTAGCACACCAGAATCTGGTGCCACGGACACATTCAGCCTCTCGTCTTGTGCACATGTACGGGCAGCAGAAAATGTTATCGAATAGTACATTCCTGGAGTAACATTTAATCTTTGCTTGATTGATGCTTCATTTCCTAGCCTAACGGCAGCATAACCCTCAGGAACCACTAGCAGCATGTCACCTTGCTTTTGCCCTGCCTTAATGTACTCAACAAAGCCAGAAATTTCCCATTCTGGTATTGCAGTGGGTTTTAGTACAACCGTTCCTTTCATGTCCGATGATTTGGGTGCCAATTCAAAGTTGCCATTGAGTAGTAGTCCTGTAAGAATTTGACACTATTAACGCTATAATCTCATAGAACAACATTGTACTTGTAATCTAAAGTCCTACCAGTACCAAGATTTAAAAAAATTATAGTGCAGTAAGCCAATCATGCTTGTCAAAAGCTTATGACAATATCTGCAAACATTTTAAAAGCATTTCGGATTTTCGACAGGCCCTTTCAAACTATGAAGCACAAATACGTGGTAAGCTAGCTGTACTATGTGGGTCGGCCAGAAGACAACTTCTCACATGCGTGCAGGCCCCACATGATTAAAAAATTCAAAAAAAAAAAAAAACAGTGGACCCTCTATTGTGAGTGTTCGGTCAACCTGTATGTCAACAATTTGGTTGTACAAATAGCATGGTTGGAAGCTAAAGGATGACGCTACAGAGTTGCTAAGACAGATCTAGAAATGAACTTTCTGGAGTGAAGAAAAAAAATGACAATTTGGTTGTACAAATAGCATGGTTGGAAGCTAAAGGATGACGCTACAGAGTTGCTAAGACAGATCTAGAAATGAACTTTCTGGAGTGAAGAAAAAAAATGATTCATGTAGCTGACAATCCCCAATGCCAAGCCCGGGTGGGTTCTTGGCGGAAGTAACGTTATCAATGCGGAGATCTATAGTCAAGACCTCAAATTTATGGAAAACAAGGCCTAGTTGATTTTCCTTCATCCCCATGACACGGGACACTCTGGCTAAGGGATTGAGAATTCTTAGCCCCTAATATCAAACAGGTCACAGCCCATCAGCAGATAAAGTCACCATTGTGAGAAGCATAGATATAAATAATTGCTTCAGTACAGAAATTTAGTACTGGATTTTAATTATTGATGTTTTAATTTTTTAGACGAGATATTTCAATACTTGTTGAGAACGATACAAAAATACGGGAATGCACATCTATAAATGGAGACTGTCTACTCGATTTGGGTTACTCGATAAGAACACATTGGGTACATAGTACTAAAAAGTAAAAAAGTATCGGACCAGACAGCACGATGACCAAGATTTTAAGAAACGTGCTCAAAAGGGCTGCACCCAAACGCCAATAATTGCATATTTCTTAGGTTGAAACGGAGATCCAATACTAATTATCGAACATGTCCCTAAAACTTAAAACTGAACATTCAAACAGACACATTTGTAACAGAGAAACAATTTCTGAACTTACCATCAGTAAAGGCCAAGGCAAGATGGCTGGTAGCCACAAAAAACAGCACCAACAAAACGACGACGCTTCCGATTCTTGAACTCCTCTGCATTTTTAAGGGGGTGGGTAGATATGTGAATGATTTCAAATTGGGGTTCAGAGGGCCATTTTATGCATGTCAAACTTTGAAAATAGCCTTAGATTTCAGCATTTTTACATTGATGACCAACATGATAGACTATGAGTAAGCATTTTGGACCATTGCACGATGACAGACCAGGCATCACATGGCTATAGTTAGTGACGATTTTGCCCTTTTGATTGGAAAATCGGATAATCAGGAAGTTGATGACAAAAGCTGCTTGAAGTCACATGGTTTTCAGTCTCCCATGCTGATACTCGGCATCTAGGATTTTTATGTTTTGTCGTTTAGCCGCAATCTATTGAGGATAATATTTTGAAAATCGGGTCGATCCGTCCCATTCAATTAAAATTATTGAGAATTCACTCAGATACATTTTTTAATTGAACATTTTGAATTTTGATTATTTCTCTTTTTCCACTCAATGTCTAAGTCGAGTTTCAAAACATTAATAATGATGCATAAGGGATTTTATATGAATTAAGTAACACAATTTAAATCAATAAATTTCAACTCGAGTATTTAACTACATTGAACATATAAATTAGATAAATAAGGTTGTCTCTTTTATAATACGTTAATATTTTAAATGAAATGTTTCAACGTAACTCCTGTTTTAGCTAATTCTGTGCTCGCATTTGTACCAAATTCGTTAGTAGGATTTCAATATCGAGCCACAACTAGTTACATTAAGCGAACTCTACACATCTTCTTTAAAATCAACAACAAAAATCATTCTATTGAAAATATAGTCGTTATTGGGTCTCACTCGTCTAATAAAAGTCAACAATAACTGCTAATTTTTTAATTTTAATTTGATTTTAATCTCTACCGAATACGCCCTAAATCTGTATTAACTAGAGAATTAGGTATATATTAACTATGTAGTAATTTTTTTCTTTAATATTATCTAGTACATGTCAAATATGGCACGTGTATTTTGAATAATAATGTTTGGTCGAGATTTTCATCTTTTCATTTAATATGATATCAATATTAACTATCTTATACTATTATATTTTTGTTAACAAAGAGGATTACTTGTCATTCTATTAACTAAAGCAAAAGAGTAATGCTATTCATTCCCATTGGAGATGAAAACACAGTCTATGTAGCGCTAATGTGGCATTAAATGATATGTGAAATTAAATAAGTCATTTAATTTCACCTTTCATTTGACATATCGTTTAATGCCACATATACTGTGTTTTCATCCCGAGATGAATAACATTCTCAAAGCAAGCGCTAATGTGGCATTAAATGAAAGACATGGCTCATGATTTTAATTATATATAATAATAGCTAATTACATTTCTCCACGGTTCCCGACACTAATCTTTCACACACACAGTATCTCTAGTCTGTGTATTATTAAATATGTATGCTTTATTAATTACACACATTTTGGTACGTTTGATTTTGAAGTTCAGAACAAATCAAGTTTTTAATAATAAAATTATTCCCATGAATCCGCAGGATATATGCATGTTCTTCATATATTCTGCACGTTAAACGAAATATTCCTAATACACTTGTCATAGGTACAATGAAGCATTAACTAATTGTTCAACAATTTAAAAAAAGGAAAAAGAAAGAAAGAAAATGAAAAGGAAAAAGACAATTTTGCCACTATATTTTTATATAATAAAATAAATATTTTAGGCATTTTGTAAGTACAAAACCCCAAGAAATCAATCAATGCTTGCATTACACTGATTAAGAGACTTGGTCTTTCTCCTTAAAGAACAAACATTTGAATTCAATGCCCCCATGTGAATTTAGAAAATTCAAACGATGTCGAAATAAATAATTTTGAACACAGATACTTTTAGTGTAACGTAGAATTTTACAATGTTGCATGAATCGCTTGAAACATGTTGAGTGTATGACTCATCGGATGGGATAAGAAAGAAAGTTTTATTATATGCTTTATTTCAAATATATACATGCTCAAATTGTTTAATAGTTATTTTTAACTTTTGTTCTCTTATTGAGGCAACGTTGAAAAAGAAATAGAAAAATGACAATCTTGTTCAAATTATTCAATTCATATTAGAAAAACGTTCGAAAACGCTCGACCAATTTTTTTTAGTGGAAGATAATTATAGTGGAAAGGAAATAAGAAAATGAAACCAAAAGACAAATTTGATCTTTTTTAAGGATCAAACTCCATAATTTTAACAATTTTGGAGTTGACAGGGTTAAAGAAACATGACACGAGATTTGTGGGCCCTGTCATTAGTGAAGGGCCCACACAAGGATGCAGGTTGAAAATTCAGCTGACCCAATCCAAAACAGAGATCATGGGTTGTTCTTGGGCTTTCTTGAGGGGCCAGTAGGCATGTGAGCCTATTAGAACATGAGCCAAGAATGAACCTCAGCCTCGTCATCTTTCTTTCTTAAATTTTTTCTACGTGGTGGTGGTGGAGCTTGTCGTCGAATCTCTATGTTGTCTAGATGTGTAAACTTTGTTGGATTTACAATAAGTCTGTCGCGAATTGTCCTAACTCTCGAAGAACACAACCTTCATTAGAACCAATAAAGAAAAGTGAAAAGACTTTTGAGTAAGTAACAATTTTGAAATAATGAGTTAGATCAAAGTCGATGTACAACCAGTTGCTAACGATAACTCTAAGCAAGCACAACGAGGAGCCCTCTTTGACAAGAACTTGAGCATAGTGAGATACCATTGAAGGGTAACGTTTGATTATAAATAACTCTTAATTTAGTCCATCCAACACCAAAAAAATGTGGATTATATTGAGCCATAGACAACAAGTGTCAAGCTAATCTAAAGATAGATTAAAGAGGTCAGCTTTAAGTCTTACTTTATCTTCTTCAAGTAATTTGTGAGAAATACAAAAATCTACCCAAACACAAATTTACGAAAATTGTACATGTACTATACACAAGGGCGAAGCAAATAAGGATCCAAAAAAATTTATACCAGACTGATATATATATATATATATATATATTTTTTTTTTTTTTTT